AAACAGGAATTACCCGTTATGATCTTCGGCTAAATAGCGTCTAGCAAGTCCAATAATAATAATTTCGGCAATAAAATTGATACATAATTTTTGAATTTGTGCTGGAATAAAATGTTTGAACTTAATCGTTTGTCTTAAGCAAACCTTATAAGGGAATCCATATTCAATTAAGGGGTGGCTATTAGGCAATAATTATTCATGTGTTTGCTTAAATCAGTACAGACACAGGGAAAATTGAAAGGCCTGTTATTTTTGATATTGCCGTTTTGTTGTTATTTTTAGTTTACCTCCTCACAAAAACGGAATAGCAAACAATGGAGTTTCTGTATTTAAAGTTTTGCCTCAAAAATGTAATAATTTTGAAATGTTGCTAACGACCCATGAACTGCACTATGCCTGTAATGTAACCGCAAGTGTCGGAACCTATCCGTGATAGATATGAAAGTATAAATTAGATATTTTCATAATTTTTACAGAAGTATATCTATTGAACATCAAACAAGTGTCTTTATTGTAAGTATAACACTATGAAAATGTATGGCTAGAAGAAGTGCAGTAGCCCCTATCTTTACTTCAAATCTACATGGGGGTGCCATCTTTCCATACTCACCTTAAATGTATATACTTACTAACAAGGGGACTGTGAAAATCTGATAGGTGGCGCTCACACGAATAAGGATTATTGATTCAGACCATACAGGATGTTCAAATTACTTACACATCTTAAATCTCATTTGCATAATGCAGTTGTATCGGTTGATCATTTAGAAGTGATGACCTTTCGGACTAGTAGTATTCTCCTCCTGCACTATTTCTCCATAATTCTGTTTACTTCTTTGCATTGCCATATCAGATGATCAATATTGCTGTGTGGAATGGCAAACAGTCACTAAACCACCCACAAATCACCTGTTCAGCTAGCTAAATTATATAAAATTGATTATTCTCGAAACGCGACTTAATTTTTTAATTTAGGCCTCTTAGCAGCCTTGTTTTAACAATTCCAAAGAATTATTTTAACAACTGATTAACACCTAGAAAAACTCTGGGAACGAATATCAAATTTAACATGAAATCTCACATTCTGTCATTGACAAATAAAATAACATTTTACGGGCTACACAAATTGACAAAGCTGAAACAGAGAAAGGATCTTAGAGCCTGCTTTTTACACATGCCTCGCACGCAGTCGTTCGACACACAATAAAATAAAGAAAATCTTAATTACTTACAGTTTTTAAATAATCTAATAAACTAGTGGTTAACTGCAACATTCTGGCGCAGAAAGAACTAAACATGCATTCGCTGACAGCTCCAAAAAAATCTTGATGGCACGAACTGGCTTTGTTGAATTTAATAATTAAATCTTTCGGTTTTTCGGACAGTGAAACACTTTTACTTTCAACAAAAAGAGAACCTTGAAGACTGGTCTTTCTGTGCAATAAACTGCTTGGTCGACACGCACACTCGAGCTTGTATGTTAAACTACGTAGGGTCGATTTTCCTTGTTGATAGGGTTGTTGTTGGGGATGAAGCGGATGTCTTGTTAGAACCTCGCTTCTCAAGAATTGGTCTAACACTTTTTCCATCCCCTTCAACAAAAACGAGCTGAAGATAATGGGTCTATACGCCTTGGGAAGGTCGACTGTTCCTTAGAAACAATTAGATTAACGCCAACCTCGAAATAAACTGCACACCTGTTGTTTTCTTATCGGCAATAAGCGATAACACATGATTAACTTGAAACTAATTAAGTTTCACCTTACGCAACGCGATAATTAATGTTCTTATCGCAAAGGCCAGGTGTTCCTATTTTTGAAAGCGTAATTGCACTTTTACGAATAAATAAACACATGCAATAAACAAATTAAACCCTGAATTACATAAAACATTTAACAATTTCTATACAAAACTTCAAATTTAAATAAAAAGTACAAACTCCGTTTTTAATTCCATACCAGCGAACAAATTTGCACAAAAAATTGAAATTTCACATACAGGATGGCAGGTGTCAAGCTTAGATGAAACGCCTCATTTTCTTGCTCTTTCTCTCCACATATTTACATTGCGTTTCTTTTTCTTTTCCCCAGTTCTCCTTTCCTTTCTCCTCGTCTGCGTATCTAAATCTCGCCATTAGTTTCATGTTGCCTTAGAATAGAATCAGCTTCTTGTACCCACTGTTCTCTCGTGAGCTCTCGTTTTCTACCCTTTGTTGTTGTACTTGTATATCTTTGTCCCTCTTTATAAGTTCTTGTTCCATGCTTTCCCCTTCCTCCTCCTTTCGACTGCTGCCCATGGGTATTATTTTCTTCTTAGTTTCCACCAAATTTGATAAACGTTCTTTCACGAATTCACTTTCTCTTCTTTCCACGAATCTTACCGCCCGCGTTCTGACAATCCTTATCTTCTCTATTTTTATTTCTTCCTCTAATATGTAGGTAATTTGGTGTCCTTTCGTTCAGTAATACTTTCTGTGTATTCCATCTAGTTCATTCCATTTCTTCCATACCCACATCTTCATTCCATACATAAAACCTCCGTCATCATTACAGAAAAAAAGGGTTTTCTTATTCTGAACCGGTTAAATTTCCTCTCTCCTCCTTTTATATTAATTCCCTTATTTTGTTGTATCTGGAACTCTAGATATTTAAATGCTCTTATTTCCTCTAGTCGTTCTTCCCTCCATTTCAATTCTACCACCATGTTCCTTCGTCCCCCCTTCCCAAATCTCATCATCTTTAATTTTTGGCCATTTCATTCCATTCTTTTTTCCCAGCATCTCCCAATTTTTGCCATCAGTCGCTTCATATGTATTTCCTCTGATGTATGCCAGGCACCATATACTCCCGCTTCCCACTACGATTCCTCCATCTTGACCATATATTTTCTCCATATCCCTTATGTAAAAATAAAATAAGTTTGAACTATTGTCTATTGTCCAGAACACTTCAGACTCCCTCCTATCCGTACCCTACGTTTTGTCTCTCCATATAACTCGATGATTCTGTTCTAAATTATTATCTATTTTCCTAACCTCCACCATTTTCCACACCTTTTCCCTTTCTACTCTGTCAAAAGTTGCGTTTAAATTGCACCCTTTAAATTGCACCCTTTTTTTCCAATTTCAATTAAATTTTAGGCATCTGTACTTTCCGTCCGTCCGTCTGTGTACATGATAACTCGCGAACGGTTTTTTCTAATTACGTTTTCAGTAACAGCAAAGAATTTATTAGTTACTCTTTGGTAATAAGTAGACAATAATCAAGGGACTACCTAATTAAATTATAGTGTTTCTTCAAGCAGTGGCGGACTGTTCCGGGGGGGGGGGGTGTGGCGATTGCCACCTGGCCTGTACGTCATAATGGCCCGTTGGAAATTTATAAGTATGTGCTGTATTTAGTTTCTTGCACTATTAATAAGTTATTAACACGTTTCTCTAATTGGGGTTGATGTTAGGTTGTTAAAAAATTAAAAAATTCTGTTATAATTGAAGTGTTTTACACTGAATTTATCATTTTTTGTCGTAGCATGAAAGTGATGAAATACAATGATAGGCGACGCGCCTCGTTTGGTTTGTATATTTTGTTACTTTTAATTATCAGCTGCAATTAAAAAAAACCTGTATTGTAATTGATTTCCGAAAAAGGAGTACTTTAAAATGAAGCAAAAAATGTTTTTGTAGTGCACCGCAGCGAGCTACCCCCCCGCCACCTTCATTACTACACTAATACTTTAATGGCCCGTAACCTACGCAATTCCACCTGGCCCGCCCATGACTAGAAACCAATTTCGAAAGAAAATTCAAAGGGCTGTAACTTTTGAACTAGTAGCCCGATTTTGGGACTGTTTGAAATTATGGATTCTACAGGACACATTCTATAAGAAAATTTTTTCCGGGTCGATCTGAGACAATTTTTTTTTCGGGGCTCAAAAAAAGGCAGTGTATAAACCTTCCTTTTTTACCAAAAATTGACTGCACCAAAATTTCTCGGGAAAACACTTTTTCCTATTAATTTTGGTGCATAGAATCCAGACGATTCGTACTTTTTCGATAGACTTCTCAATCAAAAGTTATGGACTAGAAACCAATTTCGAAAGAAAATTTAAAGGGCTGTAACTTTTGAACTAGTAGCCCAATCTTGGAACTGTTTGAAATTATGGATTCCACAGGCCACACTCTATAAGAAAATTCCGGGTCAATCTGAGACAATTTTTTCTTCGGGCCTCAGAAAAAGGCAGTGTATAACCTTCCTTTTTTACCAAAAATCGACTACAACAAAATTTCTCGGGAAAACACTTTTTCTTATTAATTTTGGTGCGTAGAATCTAAAACAATTCGTACTTTTTCGATCGGACTTCTCAATCAAAAGTTATGGACTAGAAACCAATTTCGTAAGAAAATTCAAAGGGCTGTAACTTTTGAACTAGTAGCCCGATTTTGGGACTGTTTGAAATTATGGATTCTACAGGCACATTCTATAAGAAAATTTTTTCCGGGTCGATCTGAGACAATTTTTTTTTCGGAGCTCAAAAAAAGGCAGTGTATAACCTTCCTTTTTTACCAAAAATCGACTGCACCAAAATTTCTCGGGAAAACACTTTTTCTTATTAATTTTGGTGTGTAGAATTCAAAACAAATCGTACTTTTTCGATCGGACGTCTCAATCAAAAGTTTTAATTATCAGCTGCAATTTAAAAAAAAACTGTGTTGTAATTGATTTCCGAAAAAGGAGTACTAAAATGAAGCAAAAAAATCTATTTTTATTTCCTGGACTTCTTTGTATTCTTTCTTTATCTGTTTTTCTCTCATTTGCTTTTGTACTTTTTTTTTGTTCTCTCAACTCTCCATTTCTATCTTTCTCCACCAACTTTTTGGCTTTTTGGCCCTGTACCTGATTTGTATGGATTTGCATATAATTTTGTACAGAAAATGTAACATTTAACAAATATATATTCTTTACCAACAATACAAATATTACAAAAATTATGGATACCTCTCTTACAACTAATATTTTCACGATCACTGAACATGATTATGTTGAAAAGAACGCTGACATGTGTATTGAATTGACATAGATTTAGTTGAGCGCGGTTTTTTACAGATGATGTTCCAAATGTGTGAAGGTGACAACAGGCGCTGATTGAGGACCACGGTTGACCGCGGTGCGAGTACCGTGTCTTGCTGCAGAGAGCGGCATGTAAGATCTGCTCACATCCTACAAAATAATATATGCAAAATTGGTTCCCAGGTTTAGTCGCATACTCGCTTGTGACTTGCTGAATATGCCAATCGTGCTCGTAGGTGTAAATCCGTGAGTGGAGTGTAAGATGTTGAGGTACTCGCCAGACAACGTGTAAAGTCTGCCAGTAACAAATTTACACCTGGCCTCCTAAGCAAATCTGGGGTTTCACTAAGACCTGTTAAACAAAGGGTACCACCTCGTATAGAAACCAAGAGCTACTTACGTTCAGAACTGATGCTGCTAAACAGTGAAGAGTCTAACATTTCCTCACGTATTCGCGCTAGTCGTTGACTCGAATCCTCGGCAATTAGCCAATATGTTCGCATTTCTCCTTTTCCCTGAAACCCGCGTGAATTTACCCGCACAACCTCTAGCGGTCAACGAACCTTTATGGGTATTAAACCTCTCTCTTCAAAAATGTACCCTCCTAAATCCTGCAGTAAAGCGAAGGTAGCGTGAGATGTGTGAATTTTAAATGCGCACCCTGAACTTTCCATCCTTGACGCTGTATTTACGGTATCTCCAAATAGGCAGTACCTTGGCATCTTGTGGCCTACCACACCAGCCACGCATTTACCTGAATGAATTCCGATCCTCAATTGCAGCAGCTCACCGGCTCGATGCTTGACCTCAAACCTCTTTATCTTACTTAACAGGTGTAGGGCCATGGAGGCAATTTCGCCAGCGTGCCTGTTGCCGTTGCGTATGGGCAAACCGCTGACGACCATATACGCATCTCCAATTGTTTCAACCTAACTCCATCACTCCATCTTACTGTTTTGCCCCTCTGCGGCCAATTACTTACCTTATACACGTCATAATGTGAGATGATGGAATCGAAACAGGAATACACTTCGTTTAAGAGATCAATCACCTGCAATGGCGTACTAAGCGCGGACAGTTCGGTGAATCCCACAATGTCGCTGAAGTATATGGTAACGCAGTCGAATGTTTCAGCTTCTACATTATTCCCTCTTTTTAACGCCTCTGCTACCGATCTAAAGAATCAGGTAATTTTCGAAAACGGAAACTGTACCTTACTTGGGTAGCATTCTATGCAGTAATGCGTCGGTTTTCTTTTTCTCTTCTGTAAGCTGATTTGTCCTTTCTTGCACTAAACCTTCCAAATTATAAGCGTACTTCTCCATTATCGCCAGCATGTTGTCAAATATATTGGGCTTAAGACCCGCCTAAAACACAGATCAAATTCGCGTAATGTCCAAACAAAATCTCACCTGCATTTCTTTAAGCCTGGACCTTACAAAACGTATATCTGGCCTTTGGTCGGGATCCTCTGCCCAACACTCCTTCATGCACCTTTTAACGTAATCGTCTGCTTCCAGATTATCTAAAGAGGGCCTAAACGGGAAGTCTTGACACTCCCTCTTGATCGCCTCCAAAATTTCTAAAAATTACACTCGTGATAATCTCCCACATGATTTCACAGCACGAAACAGATACACACTCAAACCTCACCAAAATGCGTCATATTCGTACATCCCCACGGTCCCGACCGACCTAAAATTTCGTAAAGGACGATCGCAAACGAATAAACGTCGCCTTTCTGCGTGCCCCTCGACGGTGGGCACTCCGCGCGAAGTAACTCGGGCGCTCTCCAAAGCGAGCGCCGCAACTCTTTCTCGCTCCACTGGTCGCTTATTTCGCCCACTGAAATCTGCAAATGTACAGCCGAAACTGCGAGAGATACACGTACCTCTAAACTCGTGAAGTCCGAAATCGGTGATCTGCAGAACCCATCGGCTATCAATTAGACAATTGCTCGATCTGAAGTTACCGTGAGAAATGATGTCGCTGTCGTGAAGATAAATCATACCCTGAACGCATTGACAGTTGGTCGCGGTTCCTTTATAGAGATACTTGCCTTTAGCATGTCGGACACCAGTGAAGATATGAACATGTTGTCTAAGTGTAAGTCTTCGTTGTTGAGTACGTCCTCCAAGCTTCCTCTGGGGCAGTAAGCTGTTAAAATCGCAACGTTACCGTGCTCGACACTGGCGCCAATGAAAGTTATCAAGTTCTCATGGCGAACTTCTCGAATCTGTAGTCAAAGTTTGAGTTTGAACCTTCCAATGTCGCTGTCGGTACCTGCTTGAGCTCCTTGCGAATTGAGCGTGTTAAATCGACTGATTTTTTATGTATACGTTTTATGGCGACAATGTTTCCCTTGTATAATCCAATGGTGGTATACGCTACTTTCGGAGAGGACTCTACGACTTCGCTTGCACTTCTGGTTGCTGATTGAAAGACACTGTGACGGCAGATTTGGATCTGAAATTAGCTTATGATTGATCCCGAATTTACTGCACTGATGAGTGTCGTGATTCGTACCATATTTTTGCTTCTATTTGCGGATTCACCACTTTCGGTGGGAATGATTGTTACATCCTTCATATCGATCTTCCATAAGAGGCACGCTAATTTTTGCTCATATCTGTAGTGCCTATCAAGAGAAAGAGATGAATTTGTAACATCACACCAAAAACAGTGTCAACTTATTGCGATAAATATAATGTATCGGATCTGCTGTTGCCGTAGTGTATGGGCTGCAATATGATCAATTCTGTCAAGTTTCTAAGGAAATTACGTAGGTGCAAATTATATTTGTTGGCGAAGAAGGAGTAACGATGGCACAGTTTGCACTAAAAAAACGTTACTCCAAGTGTTTGAGTCGAAATTGAGGTACGGCGTCAATATATGGCGAAATGCAAATAACATATTAATTAATGATATATTATTATATAAGATACAAAACGAGTTGTTAGTACAATGTTTTCATTACAAAAATGAGACTCGCGGAAGATGTTTTTGGTTTTACTGGTTGTGTTCTAAAACATTTAGAAATTGTTTCTTTGTTTCAAACTGATACATCTCGCGATTTAAAATTCGATTCCTTATAAATCCGCCCCGAGCATCACAGCCATAAACTGCCATAGAGGCTTCTGTCCGTTTCTAGAGCATTTAGCCCACTGCTGAACAGGACCCAAAATGCCTGTGTCCCAGAATTACCACTCACATAATATAGTCCAGGCTAAGTAGCTCTAAAATAATTTATTTTCAAAAAAAATTAGTTACCGGGCAAAACCGGGTTTTTCAGGCAGGTGAAATGATTAGAAATTGGGAAAAAATAATTAAAACAGCACAATTTTTCCGCGGGTGAAATCCCGGGGGTTGAAAGGGGTGGAAAGTGGTGTTTTGCAAATTGTGGCAAAACTATTAATTTTAGACGAAAATGTTCAATGTAAAAGTATAGAGACTAAAAAAATGAGCAACTTTTGTATCTGCACTATTTTCACATAACCTCCAATTTTCCTAGAAAAACCGAAAGAACTGTTTTTTTCGTTTTTTAAAAGGAGATAATTTTTTGGGCCCGTAAAGTTGAACCGTTTCCATTTCTGAAAAAAAACACCAATTTCTCAAGGGGATGAAAAATCTTTTTTTTTCATCGTACAGGCGTGCGCAGAGTAGCAAAATGTTCGTTGGGACTTACATTTTAATAATCAAAAATAATAAATATTATTCCAATAGAAAAATTTTAAGAAAAGCTGCAAAAACTGGGGGAACAGTTTTAAGATATACCGTTTTTGACATAGTATAGGTAAATATCTTTTTTTGCAACTAAATTAACGTATTGGATCCGCGCTAATAAAAAGTTTTTGAAATCTGTCTTCTCTCTCCTCTTTAATGTTGCTAAAATATTTTGTTTTCTAGTGCCTTCATTAAAACGTGCTTATTATTTCTTTTTCTGAATTTTTACCGTAATAAAAGCAATTCGAAGTAAAATCGAATTCTTTTGCTTCCTGAACAATTTGTTTTTGTTCACTCACTCTTCTTCCTGCCTGTTTTACAGCTGATGCGATTACGTTGGGCCTGTTGATCGTTAATTTACAGGAATTATGAATAAAATCCTCACGAAGTTTATTCCGGGTTTTACATCTCAAATCTTTTGCTTTGGCCGGTAAAACTAACGTTATTATTGCAGATTTTGCAAGTTTATCAGCAGACCCAACGCAATTGCATCAGATATAAAATAGGCAGGAAGAAGAGTCAGTGAACAAAAACAAATTGTTCAGGAATCAGGAGGGTACATGACAGTGGAAAAAGAATAAATAAATTTTTGTTTCATAAGATAGAGTAAGGTGTCAGGGTATCGCAAAATAACTTTCTTTGGTAATGTACACGAGAAACTATTATATTTTAGTAAAAATAAAATTAAAAAATAACGACATTTGTCACGTGATATCAAACGCCAATCAGAGCGCGTGACGTCATTATCCTAATCCTCTGTGCGTTTGTAGAGTTTGTCTACGTTTTTTAATTTAGTGCTTGTTCCATTTTATAGTGATTATATTATCCTAAAGTTTAGTTTTTAAAACCAGATAAGAATGGAAAGTGGGTATACGAAAGCTGATAGCAGCAAATCTGCCAAACATTGATGAAATGATGTTGGGAATATTTCTTGCATCAAACACAGATTTTTGTTCATCAGAAAACTGCCATAAGTCTTGTAGGTTTTTAAGTTAAGCTTAGATTTTTTACAAGAAATGTAGTTATTTAAGAGGAATGTGTACTTAAGATGCTTTGTTTTTAGGTCATCGAAGCTATCATATGGAGATGATTCAGTAAGCTATGTCCACTTTAAGAGTTTTCTGTTACGAACATTTTGTAGATAAAGGTCCTAAATTTATAAAGTAGTTCTTAAAAGAAATTTTTTTGGAAAAACAGTTTTTATGGCGGGCACTCTTACATTGGGTGCAGTCGAACAGAAGACTCTGGCAACTTAAAATTTGCCCGCAACATACGGTTCACGCAAAGCTGTATGTAGTTTCCTTAGTTGTCGACGAAGAAAACAATTCTTTTCTTTGCCCTACCATCAAGCTACTTTTACAACCCCTCAGAGTCCAAAGGAGTACTAGTGTCGATAAAGTCTCCTTTGTCACATTTAACAAGTCATGATCTAGTCCGATTATTCGAAACTCTATCGGCAAATGGCTCAATCGGATTCGGAAGTTGTCCAAATTGTCGTCTACCGCACGCGTCAGGAGTTAACGTACGTGAAAAATGCACTACTGGTGTCAATATAGTTTTCTATATTACGTTTAATGAGCAATCGTCGAAAACCCTTTTGGATTTCTCTACTCCATGAAGCATTTGGATGATACAGCATCATTGGAACCAGATTTACCCGCCTGGGATACTTAGCTGTGCTACAGAAAAATGTGACTACTGAACCCTACACCACGACAAAGTGTACTCCATGGTAGGGCACCACTTACTTACGGTAGTTACAATTCATCACGAAATCTTTTAAACTATTTACGCTGGAGTTATGGGTTTATAATTGTCAGGACTGTGACGTCACAGACACCGCCATGACACAAAACAGCGTTTTGGCGCTAGAATAAAAATCTACAATTTAAATTGCATAAATTTGCAATAATACGATTTATTTTGCTGAAATATCATATTTTAAAGTTATAGTAGAGGTATACGAACAGTTATAACTGGTTTTATCTACCGGGTCCGTGAAGTGAGCTGACCATGAAAAGCACAAACAACGGATTTAGGTTTAATCGTTTGTGCTTCGTTTGTGCTCGTTTGTGCCGTATAAAGTAAGTCAGCAAAACCAACCATTCAAAAATTATGGACAATTCAAAATGGTCAGCTGACTTCACGCACGAAATTAAAGCACAAACGACGGGTTTAATTGCAATCGTTTGTGCTTCGTTTGTGCTCGTTTGTGCCTTATAACAAAAGTCAGCAAAACCAACCATACAAAAATTATGGGCAATTCAAAATGGTCAGCTGACTTCACGCACGAAATTAAAGCACAAACGACGGGTTTAATTGCAATCGTTTGTGCTTCGTTTGTGCTCGTTTGTACCGTATAAAGTAAGTCAGCAAAACCAACCATACAAAAATTATGGGCAATTCAAAATGGTCAGCTGACTTCACGCACGAAATTAAAGCACAAACGACGGGTTTAATTGCAATCGTTTGTGCTTCGTTTGTGCTCGTTTGTGCCGTATAACAAAAGTCAGCAAAACCAACCATACACACAATTTTTTAACAATTGTGTCCTTAATCTTGAGTATTTTAATTAAATTTCAATGTGTATATCTGTCAAATAACCTGAGACCCGGAAACGTTTCGTTAGGGTCCCTATACTCTATTCGAATTAATTTTTTTTTCAAATGTTTGTAATAGTGCTTCCGCCTTATAGTGTTGTATAATTTAATAGCCCTTGAACAATTTTGAAAATAAAAAAGTAATTGAATATAACTTCAACAATGCATTCTAATTAATAACCGCTGTTTAATATACAATAAGGCGGACCTTTAAAAACTTTTTTTTTATTAAAGAGATCAAAAAAATAAAAAAATACTGTTTCTTTAAATATCAAACGGCTGATTTTTAAAGAATCTGACAAAACAATACTCAATTTCTGATCGTCTTTGGAAAGGTTATTACACATCTTGGAAAACGTACAATGCCTGAGTATTATTTTTTTTAACTAAGAAAGATATAATAATAATAATAATAATGCCATTTATTAATCACGTACAGTTATTTTTACAATAAAACATTGTTTACTATACATATACTATGTACGCAACTAAAAGGGCGAAGTTCAGATGCTAGTGACGAAATTCGCCCACAAGCCCTGCTCTACCACTTAACCCTTACTATAATTTTACATCTTATAACTATAAATGAACGTGAAATGATTGAAAAAATTATAATTAAAACCATTTATCTTGTACGAGTGCAAAAAAAACAAAAAATAAACGTAATATCGTATTTGGATCGAATACATACATTAATCATTGTTGAAAGAGAAAATCATAAAATGACAAAGAAAATTTCTATTGAAAGAACTGATAAATGTGGTTGTTGTAAAGGCTACGGAGAATCCTAATAACGTTTTTTTATAATTTTAATTGTTGTGGAACGTCTCTAAGCTATTTTGAAAAATAAAGAAACGTGTAAACAAATATAGAAAACGAGCACCTGGGTATGACTATAGTATGTGCAAAACCAAATTTGGAAACTGGCGCTACATTTGCTTTTATTCCAAGTGGCTATGTATCAAATTTCATTTAAATACCTCCATAAATAAGAAAGTTTGCAATTCGGTTTGTAAATGGTCGAGATGCGCAAAGGGCACTGTGAATGCTGATCGATTAGGCTCAGCTTTTGGAAATGCGTTTTATATTGCTAAATCCATGCGCATAATTACTGAATTTCATGCAATTCGGTTCGTAAAACTTAAGACCTTTTGCAGGGGCACCTCTAAAAAGCATTATGCGGGTCACTCTGTAATTGGGCGTAAGTCTGTTGAGGGCCTAGAACAAGAGGGATAATAAATAAAATAAATAAATAAATAAAATTACTAACGGAGATGTCAAAAAGGTCTTCTTTATTTTTTTTTACCTACATTGA